TCAAAAATTTTAGTCTAGGTGTTCCATTTGGTATATCCTATATATAGCAAATTGCAATTGGTCATTAGTGTGCCAAAGAAAAAAAAATCGAGCAAGGACAATATTTTAATTTCGTCCTACAATTTTTGGTTTTATAAGATCCTAGCCGCATTTTACAGCTGAAGAAAATTTTTAAATTCTAATTCTCTCAAATATATCCAATGCAGGTCCAGGGGCTCGATTCCTGTTCTAAGAAAAAATGAAATGAAGTTTTCCATTTTCATAGCTTTCCATTATAAAAGTTTTCATTTATAAACGTTTTCATTTCACATTTTCATAGAACATGGACTTCTATATCGATTTAGCGATGTACGTCCATCTGTGGAAATCACTCTAGCTTCCGAACGAAATGAAGCAGATTGATAACATTTTACACAAATGTATGTTATGTCTGCAGGACTTTTGGCTTTGAAAATGGGCCATGTAGGTCCGCGTTTTGGTATAGCCCCCCATATAACGGTACCTCCCGATATTCGGTATTTTGATGATTTTAGCGACATTATTTACCGGAGTTGTTTCAAATTTGGTATTGGTAGTTCCTAACGGATACTATGACAGAAGATTGTCTATGCAGGTCCAGGTCTTTGTATAGCCTCCATATAACGGTACCTCCCAATATTCGGTATTTTGATGATTTTAACGACATAATTTATCGAAGTTGTTTCAAATTTCGTATTTAGAGTTCGTAATGGAAACTACAGTCTATGACAGAAAATTGTCTATGCAGGTCCAGGTTTTGTATAGCCTGCTTATAACGGTACTTCCCAATATTCGGTATTTTGATGATTTTATCCATTATTGACTGGATTTTTTTTTCGAGTTTCGTATTTGAATATTGCAATGGCTTATGACAAAAGTTGCCTATACAGGCCCACGTCTTCGTGTAGATTCCAATATAACGGCTATATTCGGTATTTTTAAGATTTTAACAGAATTTTTAGCTAGAGTTATTATTTGAAAATTTCCAAATTCGTTTTAAATGGTGGAGGGTATTTAATATTTTCGGTGTTTTGACAGTTTCTGCAACAATTTCCAACCAAATCAGCTGAAACCTGATATTTGGGGTTCTCGAAAGGTCTGTTGTCTACTTGCGGAAGATGTTCGATTCAGGCACATTAATTAATGTAGCCGCCACATGACGGTACCTCCCGATTTTCGGTATTTTTAAGGCATCTCCAACAATTTCCAACCAAATTAAATGGTACTATTTTTGCATTTTTTTTTTTTTTTTCAATATCATTTAGGAAAAATCGGTTATCGTAATAGATAATTTTACATTCTTATAGTTCGGGAACATACCGATATTCTACTCTTTTCATTATTTCAATCTACTTTGATAAAATTTGTGGTGGAGGGTATAAAAAGTTCGGCCCAATCGAGCTTAAAGCCCTTTTAACTTTAGTTGTGAAAAAATATTGGGCTTTGGGAAATTTTAAGAGAATTGGATGCTCAGTTCGCGTTTTATAATCGTTTTGGTTATTCAAACTTTTGACCCTTTGTGGGAAGAAGGCGTGGATCGATGTCTACCATCTTCACACCTTCTTGTGTTAAAATATTAGGATGTGTGAAATTTTGAAGATAATCGTTTACTGATATCGCTTTTTATGGGAGATATAATTTTTAAGAATGTTGGCCCGTTGAGGGGGAGGTACCAGAGGAGTGGGCCGTTATTGTACCTTTTCGCCCCTGGCCTTACAGTGACAAAAATAGTAGATTTTGTAAAGTTGCACAAAATCGAATAATCCTTTCCTTTTCTATGAGGTAAATTATTTTCCATGAAATTTTTGACACTTTTTGGGTGCCGTAATAGAAGGAGTGGACCGATGTTGACCATTTCCAAACTGTAACTCAATTTGACAATAATATGACGATGTACCAAGTTTGTACCAAATCGGATACTCCCTTTGAGAGTTAACGTTCCAGCCAGCCAGACGGACGGCTGGACCCCCTAGATCGACTCCGAATGCCCCGTATCAAATGATATATACCCTTTGGAGCCTTAAAACCTGAGTGTATAAAAATACTATGAACCCATAATACATTTGGGTAAAGTTTTATCGACCTATTTCATTTCGTTCAGACCCTAGAGTGATTTCCACAGACGAACGGACCGGGTATATTTTGTGCCGGGTATAAAATCATGTTTTTGTAAAACAAATTAGTTTCACTCGAACTTAAGATTTTATTTAAAGTTCTCGCCCATTTCCGAAAATCTTTGACATGCCGATGTTTCCATAGCCATTATTTTGTAACAGGCAAAAGGAAACGAGATAGACCCATGGTTCCATTTGAGGATCTCCATAGAATCACTTTTTGAGTTGATATAAGCATGTCAGTCCGTCTGTCCATGTATTCTTGTGAACAAAATGCAGGTCGCATTTATTATCCGATTGAGATAAAATTTTAAAAAATAAGATTTGTTTGGCCCAAGGACGAAATTGGAGATAATCGGTAAAAATTTAGATATAGCTCCCATATATTTTCAGCCGATTTCAGGTTAATTTTGCACCAAATGGCTAATATAAGTTCAAATGACCTGTATCTTGGTACATCCCACTGAATTCATTCTTGCTTCTAGAATTAATAAAATTTGGAGAAAATCAGTTCTGATATAGCTATAGCTCCCATATATATACTTCATCCGATTTGGGGTTTTAACTCCCTCACATGCCTAATATGCACTCCAGAAGAATGATATTTGGTACCAGACATCAGATACTGCTGAAAACACGTCTGCCAAATTTTATTGAGTTCGATTCAGATATCAGGTTTATTGTGCCCCAAATGGCTAATATCAGCCAAAATGGATTGAATTTTAGCAATTACGACTGAATTCAAATTTGGTGTAAATCGATTCAGATATACATAGCTATAGCTCTCATATATATCTTGTATCCGATTTGAAATGTAAAGTCCCTCACAAGCGTAATAAGCATCCCAGATATCAGATACAGCTTCGAGTTCAGTGTATTAAAAATATATGGCCTAAGAAATCCTCTTTCAAATTTAGTAGACATATGGGTCCATGTTTCGACATATCTCTCATTTAACCTATGAAGAAATTTTTTCACACACCTCCAAATGGCTTTCAAAGTGCAGTCTTATGAAGTTTTTAAGTTAACGTCAAGATCGCAACTTCTTGGATCCCATCTTTGTGGTTGAACATGAGCCTGATTATTTTGAAATTGTCACGGGAAAGGAAGTATTTTTGTGTAGGTTTTGAAGATATTGGCCTAGTTTTGGCTGGCTTTGTAATAAACGGTTATTTTTAACTTTCAGATTTTATAAAGCCCTGTTGAACCTATTTTCAATTATTCAAAATCTCCAGAATATATTCAAATTTGAAATTTTTAAATATTAAATAAAAAATGTTCTGTCATAAAATGTTGGGTTTTTAATTGTTTTTTGTTTTTAATTTATTTATTATTAAGTTTAACTATCTCAGTATGTAATACAACACATTTGTATATGTATGTAAGTAAATCTAGTAAACAAAAAGACAATGAAATAATAATAAGAATTAAAAAATAAAATACAAATTAAAATTAAAAAAGTAAATTTATATAATTTGTTTTTTATATATAATTATTTTTATGTTTTTTTTAATAATTTTACATCCAAGTTATGGGGTTATGTTAAAGTTACACAAAAAAATTAAGACGAAATGATAAGTAATAATAATAACTGATAATTGTTTTAATTTGTATATAAAAATTAATTTAATATAATACACATTTTGTACAAAAAAAAATTTAAAAAAAAATTAATTAAGCAAACGGATAAACCATTTTTATCATCGGCATCAGTGAGATATTTGACAATAAATATAATTAAGTAAAAAATGTATAGACGGCAATGACAAAAAAAAATATATATGTATATATAACAAATAGTCGGTGTTGCTGTTGTTGGTTTTTATTATACAAAAAAAAAATGAAAAAGAAGACAGCTCAAAAAAAGGATTAGGAAATTATCACCTGCCAAAAATTATTTGAAAATAATAAACAAATCAATTAATTAAAAATAATTATTGAAATTAATTATTGTCCATTTCAAATGCTGGACTCTGTATTTGTTTTAGAGGTCAAGTCGTTCTTTCATAGTCTACAAAGAAAATGAACGTCCAACAGAAATACAGAAAATAAAAAAGTCAAAAATGGAGCTTCACAATGGACCTCTGCCATTATTAGGTCCATATAGACAGGTCCATTTAGGCGGGAATTTTCGGACAAAGGGTGGGAGGAAAATCAGAGAGATATATACATCCTACTTGCTTCATTCTTCCCTCCCCTAAAACTCCCATGTCTCCCATCCTGAATAAAACCCAGTTAAGGTGTGTTGCCTCCAAGTTTGAATATTCCAAAATCCTTTGCTGTGCCTTCTTAGAACATTTTCTGATATGGTGGAAATTTCAGTTTTTGAATTCAATTCTTGATATTATTTCATATCTTAATTTAGAGGAAGTATAAGTAACAGTATTGGGAATTAGGGTGACAAGACTAATGGAGAAATAAAACTTTGCTTGTTTCGGATCAAGGTCATATTTCCCAAATAGTCAAGGATGGAATTTTTTTTTCGGAGAAAATAATTTTTAATTTTCCCTCATAACGAAATTCAAACTTGTATATCCTTGACTCTTCTCTTGGCAACCTACCAAGGCAAGGTTTTATTTATCCAAGGCCCTTCCACCCTAATCGCAAATTAAGTAACAATTTTGCCAAGATTCTAAGCTATATATTCTAACTACATACGAGCAAGCTCTCTGGCTGGCTGGGCATACATTCTTCTACTTCGTCATTTTTTCTTTTTCCTTTTTGCATTCATCCAATCACACACATACACATTTACATTCTTCATCTTCTTCTTCAACATCATCTTCCATAGTGTCATCTTTCCGTTCATTCCTAAATTGTTTTTTTTTTTTTTTTTTTTTGTTTGTTTTGCATCATTTCATTGATTTGTTTTTGTTTAACGCTTAAAAAGTACTCTCTAACATTAGGGTGTTTCTAGATTGTTGTTGGGGTTTTTTTTTTAAGTGTTTCTGTGTCCAACACTGTACACTTGTGGTTTTTCCGGATAGGGGGAGGGCAGCACGACCACCACCTGCTCTCTGCTGTTCCTTACATTCCTTCCAAATGCATTGCATTTTGTTTCTTAAGCTCTTTCTCTCATTTCTTTCCCCGCAAAGAGAAGGAATCGGAGTGGGAGATGGAATCTGGAATCGGGAACTGGTAACGACCCTACTTAAAGTTGCACTTGGAATGATTGTGTGGGTGCTGTTTTCGGTGGCGATATAAACGGATTGGTACTGTGTAGTGGTGGCGTGGGTGGTGTTACCGTACTGATACTCGAGGGCATATCGGGCGACAGCGGCTTGGTGACCCCCGCCACCCATTCGGCATCGAAGGGATCATTGACACCCGGCACCGAACTCAGTGACTGGGTACGCCCCCCAGCACTCAACATGGGACCTCGTTTATGTACCGCCGGTGAGGTACTCTTCACCACCTGACCCAACCACTGGTCAGCCTGGGGCAGTGCTGCTTCCGCCAGTGTTGTCGTCGCCAGTTTTTCACCGCTTGTCGGTAGCGTAGGCGTATTGCTGGGCGTCTGTGGCGGTGTATTCAAAATCGCCGGCGAACCGGCCGCAATGCGTGGTGTTATCTTGGCTGTGGGTGTGACGATACCATAACTACTGGTACTCGTGGGTGAGGAGATTCCTTTCTGATACTGCTTCTCGGCAGCAATGATATTCTGATTAATGCTCAAGTTGTTGTTGAAATTGAGATCATCGGCCACACCACCAGCACCGGTGGGTGTCGCCAGCACCGCATCGTTTTGTGAGAGTAACGACAATCCCTGGCTAAGTTCCTGACACAGTTGACTAACAGTTTCGGCCGTGGCCACACCACCATTCTCCAGCTCCAGGCCACCTGGCCGGGCCGGTGACACCTCCGGTATGGGTGAGACACTGCGATTGGGTGTATTGGCACTCAGACCCAAGGTCAGGCCCGATGCAGCAGCCATAAAGGCCTTTTGACGCTCAGCGTTGGACGGAAGATCGTTGATACGCAATGACATCTGGCGTTTGAACGGTGACTGGGTACCAATTGTGCTAAGCACACGGAATGAGTTCTGACGCTCCAGCATGGTGAGCGTGGCATGAGGCCTTTCGATGGCAAACGGATTATAGGGTTTGGGTTGGGGCGGCACTGCAGCCGATGGGGTATCAATGCCACGTTCGTTGTTGACCATGCGTTCGGTCATCGTTTGTTGGCGGAATGACCCGGTCCGGGTAAAGGTATTGTTCTTCGTGTCAAAGGTCATTGTGACACCGCACTCCTTATCGCGACGTTGTTTCCGCTCCAAACACACGGCAAAGGCACAGCCCACAGCATGCGATAAACGTTCGCCGGAATCTTTGACCGCCAAGAAGCCATGGCACATCCAACGGCGTGTGGTACCATCGCGACAAATGTAACTGAAACCACGTTCATGATTACGATCCGGAGCACAGAAACTGACTTTCTCGATGGTTTGATCGACAATCAGGCCCTTGGTTTCGTCATCAACAACGCGCAAGCCATCTCCGCTGACATGCAGTAGACCGCGTACCGGGCGACGACGAGAGTTCTGCAAAGAAGAAAAAGAGAGAAGAAAGGCATTAATAAATTATATTCTATATTTGTAACCAAATTTGCTATCGATTACTCAGTGACCCCCACTTCCCACCGGCTGTCCATACCCTAACCACTTCATTGACACCAAGGTCGAGCGTTTCATAAATGTTTAATTAAAACGTCTATGGCCGGCTAACTACACTGCTACTAATTAAGAATCTTTTGTTTTTGTGATTCTTAATTGCAGAAATTCACTTCGTTATGATTAGCACAACTTGAAGACGAAACGGCGAAGCATAAAAAAGGCAACAACAACCTCTTTGGTTTAAGCAACTCTGGGCATTGTTGGTGGTTTGTGGAGAAAAGAAAGCGCCAAGCACCAAGTTGTGAACAGAAGGCAATTAAAAACCAAAAAATATTCGGAAAATAATGAATGAGCTGATGGCGGGCTAATAACACTGGGAGGCAATTTTCGGGTCATGGTCTGGGGGGTTGGTGAAAAAGCCTATTGATAAATTTGGCCAAGACCCTCGAAATAGGTAAGACCAATAGGAACCTTTATATGACCGCTGCTCCGAAATATTGATTTACTTTGAAAATGTTCTGCGAGAGGTTTTCTACCCCCCTTAGAAACCATAATCCCAAATAAGGGTAAAATCAATTGGAAAATGTGGCCATTACCCCGCAAATAGTTGAAATCAGGAGATACCTTCAAATGAGGGTTATACCAAAACGAGGGCCAATATTGATTATTTTTACCTCGCTCTAGTGAGGTACTAAAAGGGGTTGGCAGATATATATCACCCTCACAACAGATCTTTTGTTATCAAAAATGTTTGTATGTGTGACATTTGAAGAGACTTAGATGTTTATTTCGCTTTCCTTGAGCGTATTGTTTTTCAAAAACCTTGAAACCTTTGTAGGGAGGTACCAGAAGAAATGGTCTGATCTCTATATTCTATATCTATATTGAGATGTACGAAGTCTGAATGGAATCGGATGTTTATTTTGTGTATTATGAGCTTCTTGAACATTCAAAATGTTGATCCTTTGTGGGGGAGGTACCAGAAGGAGTGCACCGAAATGTTCCATACTCACAGCAGATTTGTAGAAATAATGGGATCTGTTTAATTTGAAGAGAACCGAATGTTTATTACGGATTTTATGATCGTTTTAGTTATTCAACATTTTCACCCCTTGTGGGGGAGGTACCAATAGGAATGGTTTGATCTCTACCATCTTTATAAAAGAGGTTGTGGTTATGAAAATATTGAGATATGTCAAGTATGAATAGAATCAGATGTTAATTTCGAGTTTTATGAGCTCCATGGTTATTCCAAATTTTGACCCTTTGTGGGGGAGATACCAGAACGAGTGGACCGATACATTCCATCTTCACATCGGACCTTGGGTTAATAAAAATATTTTGATGTGTATAATTTGAAGAGACCCGGTTGCTTATTTCGGATTTTATTATCGTTTTGGTTCTTCAAAACTTTGACCCATTGTGTGGGAGGTACCAGAACGAATGATCCGATTCCTACAATATTCATAACATATGTTGTCTTTTTGAAAATATTGTGATCTGCTAAGTCTGAATGGAATCGGATGTTAATTTCGTGTTTTATGAGATTCATGAATGTTCAAAGGGGAGGTACCAGAAGGAGTGCACCGAAATATTCCATCCTCACAGTAGATCTTGTGTTTATAAAAGTATTGTGATGTGTGTAATTTGAAGACAATCGGCCACTTATATTATATTTTATAAAAGTTATATGATTCAATATTTTAACAGTTTGTGGGGGAGATACCAGAAGGACTGAAACGATATGGTCCATTTTTACACCTGACGTGGCACTGATCGAAATAATAGGATTCGCAAAATTGAAGCAAAATCAGATTATTTTTTCTCTTTATCTGCAGAAAATATTTCTTGAAAATGTCGACCTTTTGTGGGGGAGGTACCAGAGAAGTGGATCGATTTTACCCATCTCCGAACTCCCTTCGAGAGGTATCGTGCGCACCAGCAAGCCAGACGGACGGACACCCCTAGATCGACTCCAAATGTCCTGAAACGGTTTTGGTCCAAAGAGACCTAGGATCTTAAAAAAACTGTGGGTATTACTAGCCATATGGCTGAGGGTATAAAAACAGACATGTTGATCCATAAGAAAATCCTGGACCGCAGCTCTGCTGATTCTTTACAGAATACTTCTAAAGAAAATAATCGTAAAAGTCCTGGAATATAACTCTGCTGATCCTCAATAAAATATTTCAAAAATCTTTAGTTGCAGCTCTTCTAGGCCCGAAGAAATGTTCTGAAAATTTGTTAGTTTTGATCTGAAGGATCAGATCAAAAATCCTAAAACTTTACTTTTAATAGCTCTACTGTACCTTATGAAATTCTCCCTAAGAAAATATTACAAACCCCTAAGAAAATAATTCAAAAATTCAGGGATAATCCTGAACTACAGCTCTGCCGATTCTTAACCGAAAACTTTTAAAGAAAATAATCGTAAAAGTCCTGGAATATAACTCTGCTGATCCTCAATAAAATATTTCAAAAATCTTTAGTTGCAGCTTTTCTAAGCCTGAAGAAATGTTCTGAAAAATCGTTAGTTTTGATCTGAAGGATCAGATCAAAAATCCTAAAACTTCACTTTTAATAGCTCTACTGCACCTTATGAAAGTCTCCATAAGAAAATATTACAAACCCCTAAGAAAATATTAAAAAAAATCCAGAGCTAAGCCTTACGGAAATATTCTTACTAAATTCGCGATTTCTGCTAAATCTTAAAATATCCACCGTTATAGCTCTGAGAAATCCACGATTATACCTCTGCTTAAGGAAGAAAAGTAACATTAAAAAATCTCGAAAATATTTTTTTATAAAATCCACCATATAATTCGACTAAAGCCGTGGAAAAGTTTCCAAAACTAAAAATATTTTTCAAAATACTCAGGATTGTATTTCCGATTTTCCTACTATTTTAATAAATTCGACAATAGCCAAAAAATATTTTTTTCACAATTATATGTCCTTCCAAAAATATCCTTTTATTTAAAATAGTGGAATTTAATTGTTTGTTTTGAAATTTTTTATAACGTCGGTAATACGCTCATTGGGTCATGGGGGAATTTATTCTTTTATTTTTTAATTAATATTATAATTTTCAATACTCACCCTTAAAACTTTGAGGGCTTCCTCGCAAACTTGCATACCGCGCGATTCAAACACTTCGACACAGCCTAAATATTTAACACCAAACGAACAGGTTGCCGTACGTACGGCTTCTTCGTCGGCCTGCCATTGGTGCGGCTTCGATGATTCGGGGACACGATCCTTTCGGCGTCTAAACGAATCGCGAAAGGATCGTCGCAAACGATCCATTTTCTTGGGTGATTTTTTGCTAAAACGGAATGAGGCGGATTTCTAAGAAGAGAAAGATAAACATAATAAAACATTAATAAGAGAACGTAGTTAAGAGAGAGCAATATTATCACACAAAGACAAAGAGATAGAGAGAAACAAGTGTTTTATGCGGCACACCAAAACAATGAAATATTCTTCAAAACAAAACAATTGAAAAAAACCTACCCCATTTGTGACATCACCATATTTGCCGCGCTGAAAATTGCCTCTTTCTAGAGGTTCGTGCGTGTGTGACGATGTGTTACCCATAGCGGACGATTTGGAATTGCTGCAGCGGACACGGCAGAGTTATGTCTGTGACGTATTTCTTCGTTGTGGAATTGATATTTTGGGTTCTCTGAGTTTTTTTTCTCTCCTGTCGGGATTTAAGGGTTTGTTTTGCTTATCTTGGATTCTCTTGAATGGACGGATAAATGGAGGGATGTGTGTTTGTGTGTGTGAAACAACCGGCCTTGTGTTGGTGACGACTGTCCTTTATCTTTTGGATGTATGCGTGTGTGTTTGTTCGCTTGTTTGGTTTCACTTCGGGGGAGAGTTACGTGAGAGAATTCCCCTAATCGGCCGTTACAATTTAAATTCTATCTTACAACTTGCAATCATCCATGGAAACATATGTCCCACCGTCCGGCAAGCAGCGAACGTTTGGGAAACGAATACAAATTGCGTATTTGTTGTGGGATTTTTTTTGATTGTTGTTACTACTATTATTATTGTTATTAAATATCACAATTAGTTGTTGTTATTGTTTAGAAAAAATAGCCAATAATTGTCCAGAGAAGTTCCGTTTTAATTGATTTATTGATAAATTTGCATTGGTTTGCTCGGTTGCCGTTGCCGTCGTTGTTTGCAAATTGTCAATTTTCTACAAGTGTTTGATTGATTTTATAGCTTGATTTGATTGTAATTCCATTAGGCTGGCTGGCAGGCTGGCAGTTCGTCGTCGACAGAGTAGGAAGAAAACAATACAAAAAAATCAAAACAAAAAACTGGCAAACAACTATTTCATAGACAACTGGGTTGGTGTTGGCTGTTGTTCGGTCAGTGGTCTTCTGACGACAGAGATGACGTAGTCATCACCTTTGTAGCCGGATTTTTTCGAAATGCTGCTGGCAGCGGGTTCTTTGGCTTGCTATTGCTTTTTGTCTGTTCTTCTCAGAAAAATAATGGGATGTGGTTTGCTGTAAAGGAAAATATTTTCAAAAATCAAAATATTGAAAATCAAAAAATGAAAAATCTTCAACACAAAAATTTATCCAGTTACCGTAACGAATGAACGATCGAAGGTATCTAAATCCAAAAAAAAAAAACATATGGCCATGTGTGGTGTTTTCAAATACCTCATACCTGCATTACTCAACGACAGTCTACCTAACCTCATTCTCGGAGAAACTGGGCAATTCTCCAATGTCCATCTAACAAATGATTCATTATCTACACACAATCCCCATTAGCTGGATAAATGGATGGATGCACATCATTCGAGACTCTGTCTGAAAAAAAGCTCGCATTGTTGTATTGAAACCAGAAACTTGAAATCTTTAATTGCCATAGAAAAAAATCAGTATTTAAATTTACTTTAAATCCTATATTTCTATGACTGTAGGAATTGTTGTTGTTCGATCGTCTGAGGCAATGAGTCATTTGATCGGTTTTAAACCAAACCACACTCTTTTTGTTTTTTTGGTGGGTGTGTTTGTTGTGAAAGATAACATAACAATAAAACAAAATCATGTCTCACTCATAGATATCCACTACAAGTTTACACTGATCAATACAGTGGGGGTCAAAAGTGTTACATAGTGTGAGAAAAGTTTGAAAAAAAAATCCGATTAAAAATCCATTTTCGGTATTTCAGATGGTAGTTAAATTGAGTAAGAAACATTCGCTACTCAGACTTTCTTCAGAGTTCGGTTAGAAATGTCTGGAGAAAATATTTTCAAAATATACAAATATTCCGGTTTAGATTCCGAAGGAAAACTTTAAAAATGTTCATGAAATTTATGAGAGTATACGGAGAGAAAGAGATAGAGAGAGAGGAAATAGCTCCTTGATAATCCACTCTGCCCTAAATACTCTAAAATTTCTCAAATCATTTATTTCTATGGCTTTCCAACCAACCGAATTTATAGAGAGAGAGATAAAGGCATGTCAGGATCACAGATTCGGTTATAATGGCTTTTCAGGACATTTGCCAGAGAATTCTCCATATGGGACCATAATTTCTGAGTTTATGATCAGTGTGGTCGTATATCTCTATAAAAATAATAGGTCAAGATCGAAATCTTTGAAGCAGTGATAGGTTAGGAAAATTAAAACTTAGTACATTTTTCTCCGAGATTATGGCAAATTCACTCCAGTATGTGCGAAAAACTGGTCAATCTGTACCATTACCCTTTGAGAAAATGTCGAACCTGGATCAATATAACTAAAATAATGGTCAGTAGGGGCTATCATACCTACGTTAAACAACAATCAGCCCAAATATATCGGAGAAAACGGACGGTCAGGACCATCGGCTCAGATAAGGGCCAGTCAAGGGCATATTCTCTGAGTTGAGGTCAAGTCGGGGCTATATTTCAGACATAGCCACGAATTTTCACTTCTAAGCTAGAGAGTAGTCCAGTTCATGACCTCTGATCATGGTTAGACAGGTCACCTAAGGTTATAATCACTCCTACAATTTCCAGTCCTCGAAAAGAGACTCCCAACCGGTGGAGAGAGACTTCCAGACTTGGGTGGAGAGAGACTCCTATTTGATAGAGAGATATTCCCTGTCCTTTAAGGAGGAGTCCAGTTGTTCTACAGAGGGAAAGACTTCCTAGCTTCGCTATAAAGAAGAAGATTATCTGAGCTTTAACTACTCCATACAGAGACTCCCTATCATCCAGCTCTTAAATAGAGAGAAAGATAGTGCCTGGGCTTTAGCGCGTCTATAGGGATAGACACACAGTTCCTTAGCTAGTCTATGGAGAGAGACCCACTGGCCTTCATCTCGTCTATTACTAGGACAGATAAACTCCGTGGTATTCGGTAAGATTGTCTAAAGAAAGAGAGAGAGACTTCTTGCACTCCAGCTCGTCTATATAGAAACTCCCTGATTACTTATGGGGGGGGAGGAACTACCTAGCCTCCAGTTTATGTGTAAAGAGAGTAAGGCTCTTCAATGTGGGGTCATTAGATCGTATATAGAGAGAGACTCACTATCCTTTAGTTAGTCTATGGAGAGAGGCTCCCTGATCTTTAGATCGTCGAAAGAGAAAGAGAGAGAGAGACTCATTGTCCTTTAGATAGTCCATAGACAGACCGGCCTTCATCTCGTCTATAGAAAGGTCCCCTGGTATTGAGATCGTCAAGAGAAAGAGACTCATTGTCTATGGAGAGGCTGGCCTTCAGCTCGTCTATAGAGAGGCTAACTATTCTACAGCTCGTCTATGAGGCGCAGATGGAAAATAATAATGAATTTATGAAAGAAAAAATCCTTAGAAAATTATTCCATAGTTCTGGAAGAGTAAAAGTTGTTCACGAAGCTTGGAGCGCTTGCGAGTTATTCCTGGTTAGAAAAAAGAGAGAGAAACTCGTTTTCTGGCCTTCATCTCGTATATAGAGGCTTACTGTTCTACAGCTCGTCTATGAGGCGTAGATGGAAAATAATAATGAATTTATGAAAGAAAAATTCTTTAGAGAATTTTAAAATTATTTTCCAAAGTTCTGGAAGAGTAAGAGTTTTACACGAAGCTTAGAGGGTTTGCGAGTTGCTCCTGGTTCAGAAAAAGTTGCGGTAATAAAATACTCGAAATAGAGTGATTTTACTCTAAGAGTGAAATCGAGTGGAATTTTTTTCTTTTTTATGGGCATGTTCGTTATGCTTTGATTTCTTAGATTAGCGATAATGTTCTCCAAAGAAATTCGGTACTTGAAAATAAAACAGAACTAAAAAAGAACTCAACAATAGCATAATCTACTCTCCTACTCTCATTTTATCGAGTTACACAGAAACAAAGTATATATCCGATTTCTTTCTTTTTCGCTCGGATTCGAGTGAGTTTCACTCTCTACTCGAATTAAAGCGAGCAGTTCAGAGTTCTGGTTTATTGTTGTACCAATCATGACGGAGAATAAGAGAAAGAAACGCTAGGATAACGAATGCCCATCTATGCTCTACATTCTCTCTCTAGACTCTTTCTTTAAAATTGCATTTTCCTTTCAATTATGTCCCGCACTGTTTAAATTCTTTTTACCCGGTGGAAATTCTAAGAAATACTTGGTATTTTTATATTTCTCCCCATGTAAGCACCTAGGTAAGAGAGAATGAGTATGCATATAAGACTCACTTACAAACTTCTTTGAAGGGGAAAAACAAATTTATTTAAGTCAATTGTGTGGCGGTTCGGCTGTGACATTATTTGTAACTGAACAATCAATAAAATGTTTTGCATACAACAAGCCGGCCGATTGTGTGTCCGATTGTTTTGTGTAGCCAACTTACGATCAATCATAATTTTGAAGTATTTTTTTTTTTTACTCGTGGAGAGCTTTCTTATGACAAAGTGGCCATAGAATAGACAAGTTTCAATACGAAATGTCGTAATAATTTCCTTATTCATGTCGTCGGTAATAGACATATCATGATTTCGTATCGTTTCATTTCGATAGAGAGATAGATAGATATGTAAGTAAATATTTGATGATTCGAGTAATGGGAAATAATGAGTGCGAATTAATAATATCAACAACAATAACAAAAAAAAAATAATGACACATTGCGTTGAGGTTTTGTTTGGGTTTTAAAGTGTCATATTGTGGGGGAGAGTGAGGAAGGGATTTTTGTTTTTTTTTTCTATCAACCACAAGCTGTGATTTCTTGGAATTGTGGTTAGGGGTTTTTTTCCTCATTGAATTCCTTAAATAGATTGTCACCTAAGGGCGGATACATACATATTTTTGAGAAATATGTGCAAATATATGAAAAAAATAAATTAGAAACAAGAAAAAAATAGTTCGAATCTGAACTAAAGAGAAATACATGAAAACACAGGGTGAGATGAAAAAACTGCAACCAATTTCAGACTGCTGTCATTTGTAAGCCACTCGTCCTACAGCTGTTAAAATTATACCAGTGACAGCTCATTATATTGTTTACAAGCCTACAAAAGCACTTTGGTGAGAATTTTCCAGAAAAAATGTTATTCGTGATGAATTTCTTGATATATGGCTGGAAAACCACAAGTGGCTATCTTTAGAGCACTCCAGCATTTAAATGTGAATAAATCTTTTGTGTCTCGTACCATCTCTCGTTACCGTGATACTGGTAGCGTAGCCCGACGAAAGAAAACAGCAACATCAGCAGAAATGCTTGGAAAAGTAAAGAAGTGACTTGATCGAAACCCCCGTCGCAGAGGCCGAAAAATGGCTCGTGAGCTGAACATATCACAATATTCCATTCGGCAAATAATGGAAAATGAGCTCGGGGTAAAGCCATTGAAATTCCAAAAAATACAAGAACTTACACCGCAACAGAAAGAAAATAGACTCAAAAGAGCTGAAGAGTTGCTTCGCTTGGCCGAAAGTGGTGAAATGCCGAATTTGGTTTTCTCCGATGAGAAAAAAAATTATTGTCCAGCTGTTTGTAAACAAACAAAATGATCGTGTTTACGTGCCAAAGAGGTCAGCTGAAAATGTGCACCTTCGGTTGGCCTCCAGAACTCAAGCGCCGGCCAAGGTGATGGTGTGGACCGCCATAACAGTCAATAGTCGCTCGCCGCTCGTAGAAATCGAACGTGGCATCAGAATAAATTCCGAATATTATCGCGAAAATATTCTGGAGGGTATATTAAAGCCTTGTCGCAGACCTTGGACATTCCATCAGGACTCAGCGATTGCCACCCAAGAATGGTTACAAAATGAGGTTCCTCGCTTCATTTCCAGCGTACAAAGGCCACCAAAATCTCCGGCTATCAATCCGTTGGACTATTGTGTCTGGAGTATTTTGGAAAGCAACGTTGGCATTAAACAATACCAATGTGTCGATCATCTCAAGCAAGCGCTTCGCCAGGAATGGGCCAAAATGCCGCCGAGCAACATTCGGGCAGCGTGTGACGGTTTCATTGGCCGTTTGAAGGCCATAATTCGTACCAAGGTGACCAATTCAAACAAATCTAAACATATTCTAAAATTTGAT